GATTACATTTTTATTCTAGCACAAGAGGAACGCAGCCCATGGAAGATCTACTAGGAGTGTAGAAAATTACAAGAGTGGACTGCATGCGATACTTCTTGGCGATCTATAGCCCGTATGCCGTGTGCTGATTGAAACACTGAAACTTAGGACTGCATGATGCACAAAATTGACAACCCAGGTATCAGTCAAAGTCCGGAAACCTGTCTCGCCTAGATTCTGCCGCTGTATGACACAGTTGCGAGGGATTCTACTCATCAGTGGGTCCCCATGGATTTTCTGGCTTTCCAGCTTTGAAGTATTGCTTTTTAATCCTATTAGAAGTTAATCGCAAACTTTCAGTCTGCGTCCATAGAGCGCTTTATATCCAGATTTACTCCAAATTAGCCGTTAATATCGGAAGAAATAAGAAATAGACAGATATTCAGCTGCCTACCTTCCGAATCGCGCTGCAAGCGGGTGGAAACTGGGCATTCTGCCCTTCCTACTACCCGGGTAGCCATTACTTTACACAAACTGCCATTATGCAGGTATTCAATGCAATCGTATAGCCTCTTAAAATACACTATCATCGGGCCGTTACGGCACCCAACCCTCCCCCGATATTTCGCTTGCTGGCCCCGCCGAAAACTGGTGTGCCAAGCATTAAGTGCCTCCTAGATAACTTTGCCTCAAATAGCCGTCGTCGACCTACTGTAACTTTGCTTGGGAAAACTAATTAGCCACAGCGGACATCAAGCTTAACCAGTCTAAAGAAAATGTCTCAGTGTCTAGATGACGGGGGGAGTCACTTGCATTAATGTGAGCATATTTTCCAAGTCTATATCTTAAGTGGCGGTCAGAATGCCTAACTGACGCAGGGGACGAGTCGAACAGCGCCTGCAATACATGCCATTCTCCAGAGGTACATCCTGAATCTTCTCACACACATAAGCCTCCCTGCAATACATTCGATAGCTGCTGTACCGGACGGCCAACAGTGCTGTCCCCTTTTTTCAACGCCTACTCCCCAAACGCCATGCATCTTCACGAGCAGCTGT